TGTGGTGGCATGTGCCTGTAGTCCCAGCTACTCAGGAGGCTGAGGTGGAAGGATTACTTGAGTCCAGGAGGTCGAGGCTGCAGTGAGCCAAGATTGTGCCACTGCACTCCAACCTGGGTGACAGAATGAGACCCCATCTCAAATAATAATAATAATAATAGCAATGCAGGAGCAAACCAAGTGTCTATCAACAGCTGAAGGGGTAAACAAAATGCAATATATCCCTAAAATGGAATATTGTATATATCCCTGCAATGGAGTATTGTTCATCTTTAAAAGGGGAAAAAATTCTGACACATGCTATAACATGGATGAACTTTGACGACATTATTATGTCCAAGTAAAAGAATCCAATCCCCAAAAAAAACAAATACTACATACTTTTGCTTGTAGGAGATACCCAAAATAGTCAAATTTATAGAGTCAGAAAGAACTGTGGTTGTCCGGGACTAGGGAGAGGGTGAATGGGAGTGAGTATTTAACAGGTATTGAGTTTCCATTGGGGAAGATGAAAATTCCAGAGATAGATGGTGGTCGTGGTTATATAACAATGTGAATGTACGTAATGAACATTGAACAACGTATGTAAAAATGCTTAAAAGCATAAATTGTAGGTATATTTTACCACAGGAAAAAGTCACACACACAAAACACGTGCGGCCTGGTCCACACACCAGTTAAATCAGAATCTCTCCATGGTAGGGCCTGGTTCTCTGTATTTTTTTTTTTTTTTTTTTATGACCCAGGTGGCTCTAATGAACACCCAAGATGGCGAGCTCCCAGAATTCATGACTTGGAATTCGGGAACTCACCTTGCTAGAAATCCTTCAGGTTGTTTTCGGTTCTCGCTCTCTCATTCACACAAGAGGCCTGAAAGCAGTTCCTCTACATTGCTGAGTCTTCCAGTCTGTTGCTGACTAAGGTGGCCCCAATCCAAGAATTAATGGAAGGTTCTGGAAGCAGAAAGCTCTGTGGTATACTGGGTATTTCTCTGGCTTGTGATTGTCTGCATACGTCTAATCCCTCTTAATAGTCCAGGAAGAGGAGCAATTATTACTGAAGTGCTGTGATTTCAGAATCAAGGAAGAGGTTCTCAGTGAAATCTATAATTCACAGCACTGCTGGAGTCCAGTATATAACTGTTTTTGTTTTTTAATACAGGGTCTCACTCTGTCGCCCAGGCTGAAGGGCAGTAGCATGATTGTAGCTCTCTGCAGCCTCAAACTCATGGGCTCAGGTGATCCTGCCACCTCAGCCTCCTGAGTATCTTAGACTACAGGTGTTCGCATGCATAACTTTTAAATGCGTATTTCCAGTCTTCTTTGGGCTAGAGCATGACTATTGGGTGACTATTAGCTGTGGGATGATAAAGAGAGTTTATTTTTCAAAACTGTGTGCTCTTTTTATTTTGAAAAATTGCAGACCTCAAACATAAGCAAGCAGATACCACAATGACCTATATAATCACCACGATGCATCACTAGTTAACATTTTTTGCCATTTTTATTTTTATTTTGCTGAAAATTTGGGTGTAGGTTGCAATAATGTCAGTTCTAGATAATGCAGCCTGTATCTTCTGATAGAAAAAACAAATCTTATGTAACCAAAACACAAGTATCACACTCAAGAAATTTGACATTATTATCTGACATTTACTCTACCTTTGAATTTCCACAATTGTCCCAATGATATCTGTCATTGCAACTTATTTGTTAATCCCAGACATGATCAAGGATCATACATTGCATATAATTGTTAGGTTTATCTAGTTTTCCTTAATCTAGGAGAGTCTCCTGATGTGGGTGGGTGGGTGGGAGTGCATGCCTTTCATGACAGTGACTTTTTAAAAATAATTCCAAGCCATTTGCCTTGCAGAAAATTACTCAAATAGAACTTACCCTATTATTCCCTTTTAATCAGAAAAAAGTGAAATATATTGAGATAACTACATAGGGCTGGTGCAGTGGCTCATGCCTGTAATCCCAACACTCTGGGAGGCTGAGGCAAATGGATTGCTTGAGGCCAGAAGTTCGAGACCAGCCTGGCCAACATGGTGAAACTCCATCTCTGTTAAAAATACAAAAATTAGCTGGGCGTGGTGGCACATACCTTTAGTCCCAGCTACTCGGGAGGCTGAGGCAGGAGAATGGCTTGAACCCAGGAGGCAGAGATTACAGTGAGCTGAGATCACGCCACAGCACTCCAGCCTGGGTGACAGAGCAAGACTCTGTCTCAGAAAAGAGTTTTACATGGGTAAAATGTCCTTGCCAGGGCATTTTATCAGAAGGCACATGATGTCAATTGGTCAAGAGGGCTTATTATTAAAGGGAGAACAGTATCTGACCTTCATCTCAGGAGCAAGCAGTCTCTGAATACCTCTTCTTTGCCTGGCACTGTGCTAGGTCCTACAGAACTCAAAGATGCCCTCAAAAAATTCACATTCTGTGGGGAAACAGACATACTCATTCACTGATTGAGTCAATAACATATTTCTTGAGCTCAATGTGCCAGACACCACTCTGAGTACTAGCAACAAGGATGATATTTAAATATTTAACAAGTTTGGCATGAGCACAGAATCAGAGAATCACAGAATCAGGGCTATGACTGCTGAGCCCAGTAATAACCCTTATGTTGCTGGATCATGGGGAAACCTGGGGAAATGCAGAGGAGCAAGCAGGATGGCTGGGATATTGGGGAAGGGGGCCAAGCTTCAGAGTAGCTGCTGTTTATCAGCGGGTACAAAGTATTTCAACATTCTAACAGCTGGGAATGACAGCCTTGGCTTGGGCATGGAGATGAATAATTCAGCCAAAGTCCCCGACCTCATGGATTGATCTTCTAGTGCAGGAGTGGGTGAACTTCTTCGGGAAATGACCAAATACTAAACATTTTTGTCCCTGCAGGCCCTACATTCTCTGGACAGAGAGACAAAGTCCCAACTGCTCAACTCTGTCTTTGTAGCACAAAAGTAGTGTGTCAGTCCATTTTGCACTGCTGTAAAGAAATACCTCAGGCTGAATGATTTATAAAGAAAGGGGGTTTGTTTGGCTCACGGTTCTGCAGGCTGTACAGCGTCTTCTTCCCATGAGGACTCAGGAAGCCTTTACTCATCGTGGAAAGCAAGGGGGAAGAAATTGTGTCATGTGGCAAGAGAGAGATGGCAAGAGAAAGATGCCAGGCTCTGTTAAACAACCAGCTCTCACGTGAACTAACAGAGTGAGAACTCACTCATTACTGCAAGGAGGGTCACAGGCCATGAATGAGGGTCTGCCCCCTCCCGACCCCAACTTCTCCCACCAGGCCCCACCTCCAACATTGGAGATCACATTTCCCCATGAGATTTGGAGGGGACAAACATCCAAACTGAGGTAGGAGGCGGGACTTGACTCCAGACCAGACTGAAGACTGGCTGAAACAGCAAAGAGGCACTCAAAGCTCCTCTCTATAAGACATGCTCACCGGTGCCGTGAGAGTTTACCATTGCGATGGCAACACCCTGAAGTTACCACCCCTTTCCAGGGCAATGACCCGGAAGTTGCCACCCCTTTCCAGGGCCACAACCCGGAAGCTGCCACTCCTTTTCAAAAAATTTCTGAACAACCTGCCCCTTAATTTACATATAGTTAAAAGTGAGTATAAATCTGACTGCAGCACTGCCTTGAGCTGCTGCTCTCAACACGCTGCCTATAGGGTAGCCCTGCTCTGCAGGAGCAGTCATGGAGCTATAACCCAGCCAGGACTCTAACGCCACCACCTCAATAAAGCTGCTTTCTTTTTTTTGAGACGGAGTTTCACTCTTGTTGTCCAGGCTCTGAAGTGCAATGTCACTACAACCTCGGCCTCCCAGGTTCAAGTGATTCTCCTGGCTCAGCCTCCCGAGTAGCTGGGATTACAGGTGCCTGCCACCACACCCAGCCAATTTTCTCTATTTTTAGTAGAGACAAAGTTTCACCATGTTGGCCAGGCTGGTCTCAAACTTCTGACCTCAGGTGATCCACCACCTCAGCCTCCCAAAGGGCTGGGATTACAGGTATGACCCACTGCTCCTGGCCTAAAGCTGCTTTCTTCTACCACCAGCTCATTCTTAAATTCTTTCCTGAGTGAAACCAAAAAACTTCCCAGGCTAGGCCCCAATGTTGGGCTCACCTGCCCTACAACAAAATTATATCAAATAGCCACAGACAATAGTAAATAAATGAGTATGACTATGTTCCAAGTAAGCTCTACTTACAAAACCAGGCAGCAGGCTGGATTTGGCCCATGGGCCACCATTTGCAAGCCCCTGTTCTAGTGAACCAAACAGACATACTTATTTGTCCTTTTATGCTACAAATACTTATGCAGCATCTTCTACATGGCAAGTACTGCGCTGGGCACTGGTATTGTGCTGAACAAGACAGACGACTGGGCACAGTGGCTCATGCCTATAATCCCAGCACTTTGGGAGGCTGAGGTGGGTGGATCACTGGAGGTCAGGAGTTTGAGACCAGCCTGGCCAATGTGCTGAAACTCCATCTCCACTAAAAATACAAAAATTAGCCAGACGTGGTGGCAGGAGCCTATAATCCCAGCTACTTGGGAGGCTGAGGCAGGAGAATTGCTTGAACCTGGGAGGCGGTAGTTGCAATGAGACAAGATTGTGCCACAACACTTCGGCCTGGGCGACAGAGTGAGACTCTGTCTCCAAAAAAAGAAAAAAGAAAAAAGACAGACGATGACCCCTGCCCATATTGCACTTACATGCTGGTGGGAGAGACAAAATCTTATTATGTAAATGCTAAGACAAGAGTCATTAGGAAATACAGAGGGGGCAGTTCACTCATCCTTAGAGTTTAGGGAAGGATCCCTGGAGGAGGGGATGACTGTGTTGTTTGCTTAGTAGCCTGTCAGTGAGACGAGCAAAGTCACCAGAGCCTTTTCACCAGGACAGCTGAGGTCCTCCATCCTTTTCCCTGTGGGTTGTCTGTCATCACCAGCTCTTCCCTTGTGTCCCCCAGTCTCTGAACAGCTACAACGACGGAGACTACGAAGGAGCCAGGCGGCTTGGGCGGAATGCTAAGTGGGTGGCCATCGCCTCCATCATCATTGGCCTTCTCATCATCGGCATTTCTTGTGCAGTTCACTTCACAAGGAAGTAAGTAGGCTTTCTGAATCCCTCCCCATGTCAAATGTCCTTTCTCAAATGCCTATTGAGATCTATTAGAGTAGATTAGTTAATGCTTCAGTCACAACCCCAAATCAAAGGGTTTTCATGTTTTGTTCTCAGAATAAATTTGTTCCAGTCCAGAGGGACACATCAACAGTGTGGATCTCCTAGTGCAGGAGCGCGTGAACTTCCTTGGAAAATGACTGAATAGTAAATATTTTTGGCCTTACGTTCTCTGGACATAGGGACAAAGTCCCAACTACTCAACTCTGTCTTTGTAGCACAAAAGTAGTGTGTTAGTCCATTCTGCATTGCTATAAAGAAATACCTCAGACTGAGTCATTTATCAAGAAAGAAGGTTTTGATCCTTCTTTAATCAACAATATGGATTCATTACATGGATCATGTAGGTCAGTGGAAGGTCTCTCCTCCACACAGTCACTCAGGGTCCCACGCTATACAAAGCTCCACTATCTTGCAGCTGCTCTATCAAGAACGGAAGTCAACAAACTTTGTCTGTAAAGGGCCAGATAGCAAATCTTTTAAGCCTTGTAGGCCATATGGTCTCGATCATGGTCTCTGGCACAGCTACTTAGCTCTGCCATTTTAGCACAAAAGCAGCCATAGACAATATAGAAATGAACAGGCGTGGCTGTGTTCCAATAAAACTTTATTTACAAAAACAGGCATCTGTCTGTGGGCTGTAGTTTGCCAACTTCAAATCTAGAACATGAGGTGTCCCCAGGCAAAAGCGGGGGAGAGGAAGACTGGAGAATTTCACATGGGCTTTTTACTGCCTAGCGACAAATGTCGCTTAGGCTCACATTGACTGAAATCAGTCACATAATTCCACCTAACTGTAAGAGGGTGGGAAGTGCAGGAGCGTGAATGGGGTATTTAGGATTGCTACTTGCTGTGCCCTAGCATGTCATCTGCTACATAAAATCCTACTTGCTTTTGCATCAGGCTAGCATAACTGTTCTTAGTTTAACAGCAGAAGAGTCACCACATATTTTTGTTATTGACCATGAGCTCTCATCTCATAGAGAGATGGATGCTGTTGATGTATTATTCCTCTGGACTGGGACAAATTTATTGTGATTTCTCTAACCAGCTCAGATGGGCTCCATCTGCTCAAATCAATAACACTTTCCATCAGAGGTTTGACAGTGGGCAAAGTCATGTGATAGACAACCCAGACCTGGAAATGACAAGCCCGGGGTCTTGCCGTGTAATTCCTGGTAAGACAGATAAGAATGCTGAGAAATTTTTTCACTTTTCTGCCAGAGCGGCATGGCTACTCCTATACCCTTGACCAAAGTCCTACACACATTGAGCTGAGAAGGTCAACCTCTTTCGTTTGGTTGACAAAGGAGGCTCACCCAGATGGGTGAGGGAAGAAGGAGACCTCTTTTGACATTCCAGATCAGCCAACCCAACCTTGGCAACCAAGACAGTGGCAGATGTCATGGTAGATCAACTTCCTATCAGACAAGACAGACCCAGGAACAATCAGTGTCAGCTGAGTAGAGGGGAAGATGTCCAAACAGCTAGTGTCACAAAAGAAAGTTCAATGGCTTTGGCCAAAGAAAAGAGAAAACGACACTCAAACATGAAAGAAAACTCAAGGTTTCTTGCCTGCAGGATGACAAATTTGATGTTGACCTGTAAAGAGAAAGATGGTTGAAGAATACATGTGAATGCACTTGACTATATTCTTAAGAGAAAGTGTAAGGTGCTTGTGAACTTGTGAGCAGGCGGCCCACAGAGTGTGGAGCTAATAGTGCAGTTCTGGCATCAAACTGCCTGGACCCAGGTGCCTGCCACCACTTATTCACTGTGAGACCTTCAGCCAATTGTTTGACATTCCCAAACCTCAGTTTCCTCACCTGTAAAACGGGAATAATAGTAGTACCCAGGTCATAAAGCTATTGTAAAGGTTAATTGGATGACCCACAGGATGTGTAGGCTGGTGTCTCTGTTCTTTTTAGTGGGTGCACAAAAATGCAAATGATGTATTAATCCCATTATTACTATTATTATCAATGTTACTGGGAAAGGACCTCATAATTCAAGATGCTATTAAATAGAATTCAAGTCTTTGTATGAGCCAAACTCAAAAGACAGTGTTCCAAGGGAATGAGGCCAAGCCTTGGCTTGACTCCTGGGAACCTGTGAAAATGCATACTGCCTAGATTAGTGTTTGGGCTAAGTAGGTTGTAATAATAGCCGCTGACACTAACATAGACCTTGACATAGGTCAGGTGCTGTTCTAAGCTCTTACGTGAATTAATCTTCATTGAGTCATCACAACAACCCAAAGAGGTAGATAGGTATTATTATCCCTATTTTGCAGATGAGGAAACCGGGGCTCAGAGGGGTTTAGTGACTTGCCCAAAGTCTCATAGCTAGTTAGTATAAAAGGTAGGTTTTAAAACCAGGATAGTGGCCAGTCACAGTGGCTCGTGCCTGTAATCCCAGCACTTTGGGAGGCCAAGGCGGGGAGATCACGAGGTGAGAAGTTCAAGAGCAGTCTGACGAACATGGTGAAACCCCACCTCTACTAAATACATAAAAATTAGCTGGGCGTAGTGGCATGCACCTGTAATCCCAACTACTCAGGAGGCTGAGGCAGGAGAATCACTTGAACCGGGACCCGGGAGGCGGAGGTTGCAGTGAGCCGAGATTGCATCACTGCACTCCAGCCTGGGCTACAGAGCAAGACTCTGTCTCAAAAAAACAAAACAAAATAAACAAACAAACAAATCAGAATAGTGTGGTTCTTCAGGCTATGTTCCTAGCCAAACTCTGCACTGCCTCTAAATCAATGTGTCCCATCTAGTACACCTGGTAACAAAGGCCAGTAAGTGGCACTTGCTTTGTGGCTAACTCCAGGACTTATTTACGGGGGAATGGTATGGTGAGGTTTCAATCTACAGAAATGTGTGATGAGTCAGGGCCAAGGTTCACAAAATCAGAGGAGTACAGGGGTCAGGCAGAGGACATACATGAAGTAGGCTGATTAGAGGACTATACAAAGTGGTGGAGACCATGTTAATTTCAAAAGCACAGTTTAAAGGAAGCGGCCATCATTCTGCTCCAATGGTGACCACTTAGCATGCAGGCCTTATGGGGTTCACTTTTCAAGAGGTGTTGGAAAGCTGGGTTTTTATGTAAAATCTCCTAATCTTTAGATGTTGACAACCAATTCACATTACTAAAACACATGGTGAGGACATGAAACAAACATTTGCAGGCTAGGCACTATCTACTTTGCAGTCTGTAGAGGACAGTTTGCTTTCAAAGATCAGTTTGCTCATGCACTCCATCCAGGAAGTGTGGCAAGGGATCTAGAGTGTTCATATGTAGACTTTCTTCAGCCTTCATAGATGTGTTTCTATCTGGGGATGGAGTGTTGATCTCTCTGCTTGTGATTTAAGCTTTCTTAGGAACAAAAGGTATGAGAAGGAGTAGCCTCTCTGTTCCTTCTTCCTAAAAGGCAGTGTCCACCATGGTTAGAGCTTCTGATTTAATACTAGCTTTACCAGGATTCAAATCCTACTTCTACCACACAGGCCATCTGGGCAAGTTATTCAACTCTCTGTTCCTCAATTTCCCTAACTATAAAATGAGAATTGAATTATTTCCCCATCTGTAAGGTCAAATTCCTTCTAGATGCCTTTCCCTCTGCTATTGAAGAAAACAGGCCAGGCACCGTGGCTCACACCTATAATCCTAGCACTTTGGGAGGCAGAAATGGAAGGATCTCTTGAGGCCAGGAGTTCCTTGAGCAGCCTGGGCAACATAGCAAGACCCCATGTCTAAAAAAAATGTTTTTTAATTAGCTGGATGTGCTGCCACACACCTGTATTCCCAGCTATTTGGAAGGCCGAGACGGAAGGATCACTTGAGCCCAGAAATTCAAGGCTGCAGTGAGCTATGATCACACCATCGCACCCTAGTCTATGTGACAGATTGAGACCCTATCTCGAATAGTAAATAGATAAATTTTAAAAGATAATTCCATGGAGAAACTCAAATGTAAAAGCTTTATCATGTGTGTGTATGACCAAAAGAGAGAGAGAGAGACAGAGAGACAGACAGGCAGACAGAGACAGACAGGGAAGAAAGAAGGAAGCGGGGAGGAAGGAACTAGCCATTAGAGAATGAAATAAATTCTGCCTTCCAAATAACATGGCCAATTTCTCAGTAATCCCTTGATATAAAATTTCCAGGCCTGCATTTATGGGAGGAACTAAATGGCAATGTGAAACTTCTAAGGCAGAAATTCAAAATTCTAAGGCAGAGGTGCCCAAGCTACATAAGTGTTACCTGGAGAGGTTTAAAAAATGTTAGCATCAGCCGGGCAGGGTGGCTGACACCTGTAATACCAGCACTTTGGGAGGCTGAGGTGGGTGGATCACAAGGTCAAGAGATCGAGACCATACTGGGCAACATGGTGAAATCCCATCTCTACTAAAAATATAAAAATTAGCTGGGCATGATGGCATATGCCTGTAGTCCCAGCTACTAGGTAGGCTGAGGCAGAAGAATTGCTTGAACCTGAGAGGCGGAGGTTGCAGTGAGCCAAGACTGTGCCACTGCACTCCAGCCTGGTGATAGAGCGAGACTGTCTCAAAAAAAAAAAAAAAAAAAAAAAAAAAGTTAGCATCCGAGCCTCACTTCAAAAGATTCCAACGTGCTAAATCAGAAGTGGGATCCAGGAACATCTGCAGTTTCCAGCTGCCCCTACTCCCAACCTGAGGATTCGGGCAGAACAGTCTTTGCTAAACTTTGGCAAATATCCTGCCACCAAAGTCCACAAGGAAGGACATGCAAATGGTGGCCATTTGTGGACAGTTTTCATTTACAGCAAACTCGTCATCCTAATCTGCTATGTCTAACCCAATGCTAAGAAGGGGAATGAAGTGCCACCTAGCAGGTGTACCCACAGGGAGGCTCTTTAGTAACAATCTACTTCTACAGAGGAGATGGGAAAATCTGACATTAGAGAACTCGAAGCCTGAAGTTGAGCCAAAAATCCATGAATATGTGAGTTTTCTGAGTTAATTCGTTCCAAAACGCTGTCTGGGGTTGGGTGTGGCAGCTCACACCTGTAATTCAATACCTTGGTATGAGGCGAGGGGATCTCTTGAGGCCAGAGGTTTGAGACCAACCTGGGCAACATAGCAAGACCCTGTCACTCCAAAAAATATTTCTTTTAAATTAGCTGGGTGTGGTGGTACACACCTGCAGTCCTAGCTATTTGGGAGGCTGAGGCAGGAGGATCTTTTTAACCCAGGAGATTGAGGCTGCAGTGAGCCATGATCACACCACTGCACTCCAGTCTGAGCAAGAGTGAGACCCTGTCTCAAAAAAAAAAAAAAAACTGTCTGAAGTAAACTCCTGCCTTTTAAAAAATTGTAGATTCCCTGCCTTTAAAAAAATCATTCTTTATCCTTATCAATAATGCTGTAACCAATATGTTAACAGATTGAAAGCTCAAATGGTTGAAATCCCAGGTAGTTTTCTTCCTCAGCATAATCTCAGATCATGATAGTCTTTACCCAAATTAATCCTATTTTACAGGATATCTACATAAGCCACATGGTGGCTGGGACAATGAAACACAGGGTTTCATGACATCAAATTCCTAAGATCTGGGAAGCATTCAACTGAAATATTAAACTGTTTTGGATAGAATGCTACATTGACAGCAGGGAATTGTTCTCATCCAAACAGAATCATGAACCTGCAGTCTTTCAAAGTCAGAAAACTCTCCGCCCTCAAGTTGCTAGAGGAAGTGAAGAAATAAATCACACAGGTGAAATGTCTGAAAATAGTAACTGTCCATTTATCAATCCGAGTAATTCAAATCCCTAGTCAAAACCAACATATTTGCAGGCTCGTGCTTCCTGCTGATACCTTGAGGACTCAAGCAAGGTTAGGTTATTCTAGGGATGTTTCTCAAAACACAAACCTCAGAGCCACCTATGACAGATTCATCTGGGATGTTTATAAAAATACAGGTTCCTGGGCCTCATTTCCTGAATAGCCTAGAAATATCACAAGCCACCTTCCCCCCAAAATAATTCTAAATATTCTACTAAAGTTGCAGAACTACAATGCTAGGATCTTGCATTTAATGAAGAACGTTCTTGCCTGTGTGGATATGTGCCAACAAACAATACTTTTTTACATCCCTAAGATAAAAGATAAACGGTTTTTCTTCTCTTACACAGTCAACACAACACGCTGCTGTGGCCAGATGTGTTTTGTTTCCCCCACACGCCAAGCAATTGTCCAGTGACTACCAACCGGGTATCCTATAATTTAGCTCAATTACCACACCATCTACTGGAAGCTAGGGTCAGATCCCACAGGTTAATAATGGTTTGGTCCCCCAAGACTGCCTCCCATTTTAGATGCTAATTGAAAGCCCCAGGTTATGACCTGTGCTTCTGACTGGCTGGCTGTAATTTGGGGGTTTTCACAACTCCCTTCTCAGGTACTATTAATGTGCCGGAGTGGCTCACAGAACTCAAGGCAACACTTACTTATGTTTATCCATTTAGTACTATGAATATTACAAAGGATGCTACCAAGGATACAGATGAACAGTCAGATGGAAGAAATGCTTAGGGCAAGGTATGTAGGAAGGGGCGTGGAGTTTCCATGTCCTGGCCAAGTGTGCCACCTTCTAAGTACCACCACACATTCAGCAATCCGGAAGCTCTCCCAACCCTGTCCTTTAGGGTTTTGCAAGGGGGCTTCATTACATAGGCATGATCGATTACATCATTGACTATTGGTGATCAACTCAACCTTCAGGGCATTTCTCCTCCCTAGAGTCCAGGGGGTAGGACTGGAAGTTCCAACCTTCTGACCAAATGGTTGGTTCCCCTGGCAATCCACCCCCAACCTGAGGCCATCCAGGAGCCCACCAAGAGTTACCTCATTAGAACAAATATAGTCCTATCACCCAGGAAATTCCAAGGGATTTGGGAGCTCTGTGTCAGAAACTAGAGTCAAAGACAAAACATCAAAACAAAAGATTCTCCTAGCACCCAATCTACAGGGGTGTCAGGAGCTCTGTCTCAGGAACCAGAGGCAGAAACCAAATATTTATTTCTTATTACATCACAATATTACACCTAAGATATGTGGTAGAAGCTTCAGTTACTGCTGCTTCCCTGGAAAGTTTATTTACCTCCCAAATTTGCCCTTCCACCCTCCCTTTTGGTTTTGGTTTTGGTTTTTGAGATGGGGGTCTTACTATGTTGCCCAGGCTGGTCTTGAACTCCCAGCCTCAAGTGATCCTCTCACCTCAGCCTCCTGAGTTACCTGGGATTACAGGGTTGAGCCACCACACCCAGCTCTTTTCCTCTCTCCTTGAGATCAGGTTCATGGTCACTTAATCTGATGCTCTGTGGAATTTGGTGGAACGTCCTTAGCAGCAAAAATAGTTGACCATGACAAAGTTTGGGTATGAGGCAAATGTCCTGTATGACAAATATGACATTCTCAGATGACCCCGGTAATCCAGTGGAGCTTCATGTTACTCAGGGGTGAAGTTCTCATGTCAGGGCACAAGGTGGGCTTTGTGTATAATCAAACTTGATCTTGGAAGTATCCATAGGAGAGGACCCTATTGGAGATTCACACATGGTATCTTGATGAGCCCAGCACAGCCAGTTGAATGCTTCCAGTGTTGGAAGAGGTGACTGTTCCTTGGGTTGAGAGCCAGCTGAAGTATGTAGCTGGGTTTAGGGTTCATGGCATCTGTTTAAACACTGGAACCACAATCTGGGCTCACATAGGAGGAACAGACGTGATAACCCCATCCATACTCATGACCATTGAGCCAGAAATGGTAGCCAGAAGCTCTAGCTCTATTTAAACAGCTTCTCTTTTTTCTTTTTGAGGAACATAAATAGTTGATCTGCCATAAGTTAAATGCACATACAATGCAACTTTCCTGAATGTATACCTCTGAGTGGTCTTGTTGAGGTATAAACATCCAGGTACACAGCTGTGTGTTAACAATGCTCATTTGCCATTCTTAACAACAGCCTTTGTGCTCCAAGGTTTTCATTAAGGAAGAACTTGACCTTTAAACAGGAGTAAGGGTCCCATGACTGTGTCTCATTAGCAGGCACAGAGTTAGAAGACACTGACCCATTCTGCACTGGGAAAGCTTCTCTCCCATAAGCAAATTGAAATGAATCCTTTCCTGGGCTCAAAATCTTCCTCAATTGCATCAGAATTGGAAGGAGGCATACATATCAAGGTGGACATGAAGCAAGAACTTGACCTGTTTTGTAGAAGTGTAAAAGCAAATCCCTCTTCTTTTCTGTATTGTTGGCTGGGGAAAGGCTTTCCGGGAATTGTTTTGCTCAGAGAATTTTTGTGATTCTATAATGAATAATGGGAATCATTACCTATTTCCAGAAGTTTAGAAGGGTCTTTCTCTGTTGGTTCAGGTAAATTGAGATGCAGACAAATCTGATCTAGGTTGCCAGCAACAGTGGAAGGATTTTTGCTTTGAAAAGGATATAAGGTAGCCGCACACTGATGAAGAAATCAGAATGAACATTAAAAAAATGCTCAACCTCATTGGTAATCAAGAAAGCACAAATTAAAGCTGCCAGATTGCAACAATCAAAAAGATGGGTAATATCAAGGTTGGCAGGAATGTGAAAAATTGGACACTATACCGGTGGTGAAAGAGAAAGTCGGGACAGTCTTTTGGAAAGTCAATTTGGATGTATCCAATAAACTTTAAAATGCTGTGGCCACCAATCCAGCAATTCTACTTCTCAGTATCCACCTTAGAGACAGATGCACAAAAATGCACGTAACACAGTAATGCTTCAACCTAGCTACATGTTAGAATTACCTGAGAGGGGGCGCTTTAAAAATATGCCAATGCCACTGGGCACTGTGGTTCATGTTTGTAATCCCAGCACTTTGGGAGGCAGAGACTGGATGATCACTAGACCTCAGGAGTTGGAGGCCAGCCTGGGCAACATAACAAGATCTTATCTCTAGTGAAAAAAAACTGTTTAATTATCTGGGCTTGGTGGCATGCACCTGTAGTCCCAGCTACTTGGGAGGCTCAGGTGTGAGGCTGGCTTGAGCCCAAGAGGTCAAAGCTTCAGTCCACTATACCTGTGCCACTGCACTCCAGCCTGAGTGACAGCACAAGATTCTATCTCAAAAAATTAAAATAAAAAAATTTAAGAAACAATGCCCAGGGCCCACCCTGGACCAATTAAATTAGAATCTCCAGTGATAGGGCCAGGCATTGGTGAATTGTAGGGCTCTCTGGGTAATGCTAATGTGCAGCCAGAGTTGTGAACCACGGATGTGCAATGATGTTCATTGCAGCTTTGTCTGCGATAGGGGAAACCTTGGAACAACCTAAATGTCCATCAATAGGCAGGTTAAATTAGTAGTCATGTATTCATATGATGGTATACCACACTGCAGTTTAAACATGGAGACAGGGCCAGGTACCCTGGTTCACTCCTATAATCCCAGCACTTTGGGAGGCCAAGGCGGGAGAATCACTTGAGCCCAGGAGTTCAAGACCAGCCTGGGCGATATAGTGAGAGATCCTATCTCCAGTTTTTTAAAAAATATAAATGTGCAGACATCCTTTTTTTTTTTTTTTTTTTTTTGACACAGAGTCTTGCTCTGCTGCCTGCTGCCCAAGCTGGAGTGTAGTGGCACGATCTTGGCTCACTGCAACCTCCACCACCCAGGTTCAAGCGATCCTCCTGCCTTAGCCCCCCTAGTAGCTGGGATTACAGGCAAGTGCCACCATGCCTGGCTTATTTTTGTATTTTTAGTAGAGGCAGGGTTTTGCCATGTTGGCCAGGCTGGTCTCAAACTCCTGACCTCAGGTGATCTGCCTGCCTCAACCTCCCAAAATGCTGGGATTACAGGCTTGAGTCACAATGCCCAGCCGACATCCTTCTTACTATGACTTTACAATCCCGGCATAATCTGGCTGCCACCTCCCCATTCTCATCTCCCAGTTCTTACTCCCTCTCTCTCCCTTTAACTCCCTCCAATTCAGCCACATCAGAGTCTTCTCTCTGAGGAACACACACATATTCCTGCCTCAGGGCCTTTGCACTTGCTGTTCCCTCTGCCTGGAACTCTCTTCCTCCTAAAAGCCACATAGCTGGTTCCCATCTCTCCTTCTGGTGCTTGTTCATGTTACCTTAACAAAGAGACTCTCCCTTTCGCCAATTTCACTTTTCTTCCTTACCACTCCCTGACAGATTATATATCTATGTTCTGTTTCCCCCTACTGGCATGAGAACTCCAGGAACATTTTCATTTCTATTGTTGCCCATAATAATAAAGCATGGCCCTTAAGGGTGCCTACTTACAAGCTAGACTGCGGGAGTTTCATTCCAGGTGCTTCCTCTAAGCAGCTGTGTGCCCTGGGGTATATCTTTTAAGCAGTCTGTGCCTCTGTTTTCTCATACATAAAATGGAAATAACAACAGTGCCTACCTCATAGAGCTGTGAGGGTTAACTTGCACAAAGTACAGTGCCCGGCACTCCGTACTCTCTAGGTAGCTGTTGGGTACTATTACTGTCATCAACATCTAGAGCAGTGCCTGGCGTGTAAATATGCACTGAATAAATAAATGAGTAAAACAAAAAAAGAAATTGTAGCATGATCCCATTATGTAAACACATACACATGATGAGTATATAATTTCTAAATGCTTACTGATCAGTTTCCATGCAGAGAAAAACACCTGGAGAATGCACACCAAACTGCTAAGAGTGCTACCATACTAACCCCTCAGGGGGGAGAGTGAGGTTCAGATATGCTCAAGAGGCATTTTGCCGTATTCATTTTCTTTGTTTGTTTGTTTGTTGGCATTTATCACGTGTAAGATAAAATACGTTTTCCAAATAGAATATGTTTTTCAAAAGGAAGCCCTTGCTTAGAGTCAGAAGTGTGCAGGAGAGCTTGTACATTTCAGCACTTGTTTAACCAGAGTAATCGCCATCAAATAAGGAAGCCATCAAGCTGGGAAAGCCGACCACGGAAGCTCAGCCCATGGTCTCTCTCTCTCTGACTTTCTCTCTCTGTCCTATACAGTGCCTGAGGAACCAGCGGTTGGTCAGCGGGCTGTGAGCGTGGAGGATGCACCTCATGCACACACACCCCAAAGGAGTTTCTGAGGAATGGATCCTTGACTTCAGACTGTGAGATCTTTTCCTCCAGGGCTCTCCAGAGGCAGGTCCCTGGCAAATGAACAAGAAAAAAAAAAAAAAAGAAGTCCAAATTTTTAGGAAATCCAAGCTGCACAGCCGGATCAGCCAAAGTCATTGATTTGTAAAAATGAAAAGAAAACAGAAAAAAGAAAAATGAAATCTCACTGTCTCAGTTTAGCGAGTCCCGTGGTGTCTACTCCTGTCCTCCAGAGGCAAGCCTCAGAAAATCGCGTAACTTTTCACTGGGGTGATCCACGGGGTCTCCGTATAGGGGGAGAGGGAAGTTTCTGGAAGAGCCGCAAGTGCTGGTTTTTACAATTTCAAGCACAAACATTTGCAGCATGTTTAAAATTGTCTAGTAGAGTTCAAGTTGTGGATTTGCGTTTCCTTTTGTTCTGACGTGTTGTAGCCTCACTTCAACCTTCAGTAACTCCTCCTCTGGGAGTCAGCACTCCCATGCCCGGAATTCACCCCTCTGGTTACCAAAGACTCAAAGAAGGGGCTTTTCTGGCCTTTTGTCTTGATCCTTATGTTTCCAAATAGGCCCCCTCTCTTGCTTGCATCCATGTTGGTCGACTTGGCCACAACCTCACTCTTCACTCAAACAGACTCTGAGAATGGACTTAGTGGCCAATTCTAGGCACATGAGCACCTTCTTCATCCCAGTGTTGGGAATACACTGGATGTATTTATACAATGTGCTTTTTTTTTTTTTTTTTTCAATCTCTCTCTCCTCTCTTTCTCTAGCAAGTCTCAGGCAAGAGGGCTTTCATTTTCCTGGATGCCACTTGGAAATGCCACCCATTGTATTTCTTTTCTGTCAAATGTAAACCCTTTAGAAGTGAATGCACTGGTTTAATGATGCCATTATTCTGCCTGCCAGAACACAGTAACCCCGTGTCTCACAGAGCATGAGGGGTGTGCCGCTGGTGGTACACAAGATCACTTTTCAGTAGTTGCTAGGAACAACTTTAAGTAATACCAAATCCCAAAGAATGTTTCCCCTTTCCTATTCTTTTTTCATCCTGATTATAGCAAGGAGAAAGTCTCTG